TATTTTTTGCACAACATGGAGCGCAAACAACCATGGAATTATACTAAAAAGAACTGTCTTTTACACACTTAAAATTATGTATATCCCCTCTTCCCTTCCCTCCCTCATTCTCCCCTCATTTTCTACTTAAAAATACTTAAACCAGTCGACCTGTTTTTTAACGAGTTTTTCAACAAAAATATTATTTTCTGCCTTAAAGTTCAATATATATTATCCTTAACTTTAGTAAAAAGTACAAAAAGAAAGGGGCTTGTGTTTGCGCAGAAAGACAATAGAAAAAAGAGAAAAGCTCAAGTGCCTTTCGAGAAAATTACGAGTTAAGCAAAAATTATTTTTGAGGATTTTTGTGGTCAATAAATAATAAATTATATTGGATTTTATCTAAATTGCTTTGATTTTTATTTTAAAATTTTCTTTTTAAAAATTTTTCTTTTTTAAATTAATTTAATTCTCAGACTCTATTTACCCCCTTTTTAAATTTGTATTTCTGTTGAAATCAGAATTTTTAAATAAAATACAAAAATCAGAATTTTAATTCTTAACAGAACAAATAATTTTAAAAATCAGAATTTTGTATTTTTAAGAAAATTAATTGTATATCAAAATTATTTGTTTCATAATCAGAATTTAGTAAAATACAAAAATCAGAATTTAAGATATTCTGATTTTTTCTTCCCAAAATTAAAAAATACAAAATCAAAATTCTGATAATATTATAAATTTTATACAGTCAATTTATTCTGTTTAAAAAAACTTTTTCTCACGACCGGAATAGCCAACAAATATTAATCACTAGCGATAACAACTAAAAATAAATAAACATGTCTCTCTCCATTTTTTTCTATTAATAAATTAATTGCCTTAATTGGATTGTCTCCTAATTTGCCCCCTATTTAAAAATTAATTCCTGCTGCTTCATATTTTTTTTTGAAAAAATCTTTTTGTTATGGGAATAATGCCTTGGGTTTTGATTTGAAATAAGATTTTTTGGAAGATAAATTTTTTTTGAATTTTTTATTTAAAATTTAACCAAATAAATACCATAAGAAAACACACAGAAACTTTTGTGTTTCAGAATTATTTGTTCTTCAAAATCAGAATTTTTATAAAACACAAAAATCAGAATTTTGACTATTAGAGAAACACATACTTATTCTGATGTGTTTTTCTCTTCCCAAACTTTAAAAATACAAAATCAGAATTCTGGTGATCTTATGGGTTAAACTTTAATTTTTTTAATATTCATGCAAAATACGTTATATTTTAACTTTATTTTGTTAATATCTATTTTTTTACACGTTTTATTTTTATTTTTAATTTGCACGCAAACACAGAAACCAAACGTTATTTAACAAAAAAAACTTTTTTTGGTTGAGTGAATAAATTTATTTTTATTTTTTACTTGTTTTTCTATTAATTATCACTTTTATTAATTTACAAGTACATCACTCATTTTTTTCTTTAAAAATTCTTGACATGCTCTATTGGATAATCAACGATTTAATGGGAGAATGACGAGATTGAAGAGAATTAATTGAAGTAAACCGTTTGAGTCTGAGTTGTGTTTTTCTTTTTTAGATTTGTGTTTTCTTTGTATTTTCTTTTTAATCAGAATTTTTAAAAAATACATCAGAATGCTAATTCTGATTTAATTCCTGCTACTCTTTTAGAAACACAAATATTCTGATTTTTATTTCTTCTCATAAACTTAAAAATATAATCAGAATTATTTGTATTTTAAATCAGAATTTTGTATTTTTAACAAAACAATTAATTGTATATCAGAATTATTTGTAAATCAGAATTTAATTATTTAAAACACACAAATATTCTGATTTTTCTTCCCTTAAAATTAAAAAATACAAAATCAGAATTTTGTATGTATTTTCGTGGGGTGTTGATCTTTTGGGACAACCTTTATAATATTAAAAATAGACATGTTACGCCACCAAAACTTCCCCTCATTCAATTTTTATCACTTAATTTCATCTCTAAAAAGAGGAAGAAAACATTGAGGAAAGAATGAGTGTTCCTCTTCTTCTAGTTCTTCTTGCCCTCTAGTCAAATCGCTTAATATCCTCTTATAGAGGAAAAAGGCTTGTGATGAGTTGACATTTATTAAGTCAATTAAGACACAAGTACCTAACACAAAATAATTTTTTTTTTTTAAATAAGGGAAGCGGAAATTTTGAAGATTTTTACAGAATACCAAGATTTTATAAGAGTCAGAATTTTTAAATAAATTTATTTTAAATTTTAAAAGAAGCTTGGAGAGAGCTTCGGATATCCCTTGATCTTTAGTACTTAACACAAATTCTGATCCAAAATTATCATCAGAAATCGTTAAAGGTGACACTTGAGTACCAATTTAATTGTTCTGATTTTTTTTATTCGTTATTTAAATATTAAATTAAAAATATAATCAGAATTATTTGTATTTTAGATCAGAATTTTGTATTTTTAAGAAAACAATTAATTGTATATCAGAATTATAAAAATACAAAAATCAGAATATTAATTCTGATTTAATTCCTGCTGTCTTTTAGAAACACAAATATTCTGATTTTTATTTCTTTGTATAAACTTAAAAATATAATCAGAATCTCATACGGATACCCCACCAGTCCGGTCACTATTTTTCTAATAATAATCCTTTTTTTTCTAACAACTACTAAATAATATATTTATTTTTATTTTTGAGGACATTCATCAATTGTCAATTGTCTTTTATTTTTTATTTAACAAGCACTTGTCATGAATATTTTTTTTTTGTGTATAAATCCTTCTCGCGCTTGTTATAATAGAACAACAAAAACACACAAAATATGTAATTTTCTATTTTTTTAAAGAAAACAAGCAAATGTTCTTGAAGATTTATTTTTATTTTTCTTAAAATTCTTTTTTTAAAAATTCTTTCCAAATTTCTCTATTGTTTCCATATGTCGGGTGTTCGCAAATGTCGTTTGTTCGCAATTGTCGGGGGTTCCCAAATGTCGTTTGGTCGCGAATGTCGCCAAAAATTCTTCTAAAAATTTCTCTGTATTTTTAAAATATTTTTTTCTAATTTTCTAATCTCTGTGCGCGAAAATAAAATTTTTTTTATTTTTTTCGAAACAATTTTTAGGGGTTTAACAAGTAAAATGACCTTCCCTTCCCGTCCCTTTTTTTATTTTCTCGATTCTTTTAAATAAGGAGAAAGGAACATCTTTTTTACAATAGAGTATTCTGACAAAAGAAAAGAAATATCCCCAAAAAATAATTTGTTTGGTTGTTACTTACCTTTTTAACTCATTTACATTCATTTTATTTTTGTTTAAGGGGGAATCTCTCCCTTCTTTTCTTTAATGCTTTTGTTATTTTCCCTTAAATAGGTAGATTTATTTTTGGTTCAGCAACATTTTCAGGCCAAAAATATTATACGTATTTTACTGAATAAATCAAGACTTTTTTTGTGACCACAAATGTCTCTCTTATGCCAGGTGTTCCCAAATGTCGGATGTTCCCAAATGTCGGGTGTTCGCAAATGTCCCAAAATTTTTAAAAATTTTTTCGTGTTTTTTTAATTTTGTGTTTCGTTTTATTTTTAAAAAATTTTGTTTCGTTTTAGCTACAGAAAAAAATTAAAAAGATGCCATTTTCACAAAAAAATAATTTATTAACTAAAATTATTAATTTATTAATTAATTTAATTATAATTATTTTGTTGCTTTCTCCACAATTAAAAACAGAAGAGACGATAAAGAAAAATACAAAAATTTTAAATATTAAAAATATTGAGAAAACAATAAAAACAATGTTTTGGCTTTCTGTAGAAATTAATTCTGTTGAATTTAGAAAGGGCTGTTTGAGTACGGCGTTGTGCCATCGACCGACGTTTAAATTGGTAGGGAGGGGAAATTTGCATTTTTTGGATAAAAATTTTTTTTTAAGAGTCAAACAATGACTTTAAATGGCCAAACTGTTATGATGAGTTGGCCGATGGAGGGAGGTGCTGAAACTCTTTTACAGGTAAATTTAAAAATTTAAATTTGGGGTCTTTTGGCCTATTTTTATGAAATTGGACACTTGAGTCTGGCCATATTTTTGACCATAACTTTTTTAATCCTTAACCGATTTGAATAATTTTTGTATCAATCGAAAGCTCTCGATTTGCTTAACCTTTTTTCTAAAAGGACTGATTCGATCAGATCATTCACTTAAAAGTTAGGGCCGGATAAAGACCGAAAATCACGATTGCGCGCACTTTTCATGCCTTAACTTATTATATGTTAGTCTGATCAAGATGATCCTGTTAAATAAAATAATCTACACTTTCAGAGCTTTCGATTGATATAAAATTTATTTTAATTGGTTAAGAATCGAAAAAGTTATGGACCAGAATAAGATTGGTGTCCTTGTCCTGAGATTGGGGTAGTTGAGTCGATTGGGGGGTCTTTATTTGTCGAAGCCTGAGATCTGCCTAAAGTTTTTCCTAGAAAGCATGGAGGCATCCAAGGCTTCGATACTGAAATGGTCTAAAAAATTACTTTTCTTCCCTTAATGCTTTTTGTCAATTAAAAAAAATTTTTTTAACTGAAAAAAAAATTAAAAAAGACCGACAAACTAATTGCTGTAGAAATTAGTCGGAAAATTTAAAGAAAGAAAATTTCCTCAATTTGTTTTAATGGTTTCCAACCTTGAGGCGACAAAAGTCTTTTCTACCTCCTTTAAAAAAGTAATTTTTCATTTCCTCTCATTTTTCTCTCTCCCCATCTGGAATATTTTTATTTTGTTCTGATTTTTTAATTTTACCGAATGGGTGTTTCTAACGGAAACGACATTTGCGAATATTTTTGAAATTGGAATAAAGCTGGCCATCAAGTTCTCTTGGCTAGTTGAAACATTTTTGTTGGGATTTCAAGACTCTAATTGTCATAATATAGAAAGCTTAATAAATGTTCGCAAATGTCGTTGTCCTCAAATGTCGTTTGTTCCCAAATGTCGCTTGTTCGCAAATGTCGATGTTCGCAAATGTCGCTTGTTCGCAAGTGTCGATATTCGCAAATGTCGCTCTCATTTCTAGAATTAAGGCTAACCTCAAAAATCCGATACCCCCTAGATACAGTCTTAAAAATCCCACACCATTTTTAAATACGATTTCCTCTGCGTCAAAGGATTTTTACAGCAGAAGACCAACACCTATAAGAAAATTATTAAAATTTTTTATTAAAAATATCGGGACTTTAATAAACCCTTTGTTTTATTTATTTTCTTTTCTCTCATTTTTTCTCTCAAATTACTTAAACTAATTCTTTTTTTCTTTTGTATTTTTACCGCTTTTGTAAATTTTCTTCTTTTTTTACTTAATATGTGTTTGTGAGAATATCACATTTCCCTTTTTTAAAAACTTTTATTTTTTGTTTGTTTTTCTCTGTTGGAGATAATATATTTTGTAATCTAACAGACTTTTTGTTTTTAATATTTTGACCTGAAAAAGCTGTTCAAATAAATTAAATACGCAATTGTCGCGTGTTCGCAATTGTCGTATGTTCGCAATTGTCGCTCTTTTCAGACCACTACGAGGTGTTGGTATTCGATCGACTCTAACTTTCGTGTCCGGTTAACTCATCTATTCGTTAACTCATCTACACGGCCAAAAACGTTCAACTCATCTAAACGGCTAAAATTCCTTAACTCATCTACACGTCCAAAAAGGGTCAACTCATCTAATCGTTAACTCATCTATTCGTTAACTCATCTACACGGCCAAAAAGGGTCAACTCATCCAATCATCAACTCATCTAATCCTTAACTCATCTACACGGCCAAAAACGCTCAACTCATCCAATCCTTTGGAACGAGACTATTGAGTACCAGTCGTTTGAGTCTCTCGCCGTCTGAGTCTCTGGTAAGTAGGGTCCATGGCCGTTTGAGTCTCTGGTAAGTAGGGTCCATGGCCGTTTGAGTCTCTGGTAAGTAGGGTCCATGGCCGTTTGAGTCTCTGGTAAGTAGGGTCCATGGCCGTTTGAGTCTCTGGTAAGTAGGGTCCATGGCCGTTTGAGTCTCTGGTAAGTAGGGTCCATGGCCGTTTGAGTCTCTGGTAAGTAGGGTCCATGGCCGTTTGAGTCTCTGGTAAGTAGGGTCCATGGCCAGTTGAGTCCATGACCAGTTGAGTCCATGACCAGTTGAGTCTCTAGCCGGTTAAGTCCCTGGCCAGTTGAGTCCCGGCCGTTTGAGTGGTTGATTACCGCCGGTTGAGTCTTGGGCCGGTTGAGACTCAACTGACCAGGGACTCAACCGGCCGATATTTCAAGGATTGGATGAGTTGAGCGTTTTTGGCCGTGTAGATGAGTTAAGGATTAGATGAGTTAACGATTGGATGAGTTGACCCATTTTGGCCGTGTAGATGAGTTAACGAATAGATGAGTTAACGATTAGATGAGTTGACCCTTTTTGGACGTGTAGATGAGTTAACGAATAGATGAGTTAACGATTAGATGAGTTGTATAGGAGCCCTAACTTTGTTAGAATTGATCTGATTTAATAGGTCCTTTTAGACAAAATGTTAAGCACATTTAGGGCTTTCTAAAAATATAAAATTAATTTGGGGAGGATTAAAAGTTGGAAAGTTGTGGGCCGTTAACTTGCCCTGTCCCGGCATTTCAGTCTGATGCTGTATTTTAGCCATAACTTTTTTTAATTTTTAACCTACTTAAATAATTTTTATATCATTCGAAAGCTAAGAACGTGTGGATTATTTTAGCTAAAAGGATCGACTTGATCAAATCAACTAATAAAAAGTTAATGCTAAATAAGTACGCGCAATCGTGATTTTCCTTGTTTATTCGCCTGTAACTTTCTATCCGTTGATCAGATCGGATCGACTCTTTTAGAAAAACGGTTAAGAAAGCTGAGAGCTCTCGAATGTTACAAATTTTGTTCAAATCGGTTAAGAATCCATAAAGTTATTGTCAAAAATAGGGCCAGACTCAAGTGTCCTCTACCCCCAAAAAATTATTTTTGAATTTTTTAACTTTCAAAAATTAAATATTTAGAAGGACATTCTTCACCCATTTATTTCCCATTGGACAATTGGAGAACCTGAAGACGTTTCTTTTGGTTGTCAAATTGCTGGAACTGATCCTTCTTTTGGATTTGCGCGTATTTGTGATGAAGCTTCGGCAAAGAGAATTTTTCAAGAAGAAAGTGTTAAACAAAATATTTTGGTAAATTAATTAAAAAGAGACGAAATTTTAAATTTTGTGTGGACAGATCCAACATACGGACAAATTCAACATATTTGAGCAAAATCCTCAAAACTTTTGAGCACAATCCGCAAAAATGTTGCGGACATCCGCAAATTTTTTGCGGTCATAATTTGCGGATTTTTTTAATAAAAATAAAATTTTGGAAAAAGGGGGGTCTTCAAAGTACCAAGATATTAAAAATTAATTTTTAAAATTTATAGAAAAATGTTAGAAGAGAAGAATCCTCGTTTTATGATGAAAATCATCCAAATTCTCCACTAAACAACCAAAATTCTCAAATAATTTTAATTAAAATGAATGGACGCTGTTTTAATGCTACACTCTCAGTTAAAAAATATTTGGAAAGATGTCCATGGTGTTTAGATCCAAATTTAGATATTAAAGTTGTTGGAGAAAATAATGAGGAGGGGATTGGACAACAGGTAGTAATGGAAGGACGTTGAAAGGCGTTGACAGTCTTGAGGCTATATTTTGGCCTATAACTTTTTTGATCCTTAACCGATTTAAATAATTTTTGTATCAATCGAAAGCTCTGAATGTGAGGATTATTTAACCTGATTGCATTGAGTTGATCGGATCCTCCTACCTAAAGTTACGGCCGAGGAATGATCAAAAATCACGATTGCCACTTAGAAGGCTGTAACTTTAAGTAGGATGATCTGATCAAATCGATCCTGTTAGCTTAAATAATCTACACATTCAGATCAAGAAAGTTATGGTCCAAAATAAGATTGAAATGGCTGAGACTCAAATGTGCCATACCCTCTAGAAATTTTTTTCAAAAAAATTTTTTTTTCAGAATCAATTAAAAGGAAATATTTCTGAAGAAAATGGAAAGACTATACAATTACAAAATATATTAATTTTAATTTTGTCGGGTGCTGTTGTATTTTCTTTAAGTGGTAAAATTTCCTAAAGATTTTTGGAATGGACGACCACGAGACTTTTTTGGCCCATAACTTTTTTTATCTTTAACCGATTCGAATAATTCTTGTATCGATAGAAAGCTCAGGATGTGCTTATTCTTTTTCCCAATGGGACCGTTCATCTCAGATTATTCCTAAAAATTCCACAAGTCGTTAAGTGCAGAAAATCGTGATTTTCGCTAGTTTTTCGTCTCTAACTTTTTAACTATTTGTCAGACGCTATAAGTCTTGCTAGGAAAAAGAAGCGGCATATTGAGAGCTTTCGATTGATATAAAACTTGCGTGAAAAAGTCAGAGAACAAAAAGAGTTATGGGCCACAAAAGAGGGATGGTCGTTGAGACTCTAATGTTCCCTTTTCCTCAAATAATCTTTTAAAAATTTTTTAGGCCTTCTTGGTGCCTTAATAATCCATTGGCGTTATCGTAAACAGAAGCCTAATTTAATCCATTCAAATCGAAGACGAATAAACACAGCTATAGGATGCCATCAAAAAGATAAATTATTTTCTCCAAATTCAAAAAATAAAAAAATTTTTAAATTAATTTCTCCCCCACGTGCCCAACGTTCCTTACCTTGTTCACCAGAAAAACAGAGAGAAAAATATGAACAACAACAACAATTTATTTGTGGAGAAAATTGTCAGGGAGAGCAAAAGTGAGGGAAAATTAAATTATTATTTAACTAGTACAGGAGATCACCACCCAAAATGTCAACAAAACTTTTAGGGGTGATCTTTTGGGTAGGCGATCTTTAGGGTTTAGCTGTTCATTTTTATTTAGTTTAAGGACTCTAGTGACCAAGCTGAAAATTTTTGGATATAAAAATTAAGTTGTGAGGAATTTTTTTCTAGTCAAAATCGTACACGACAAAAGGGTACATACGACAAAATGGCAGAAATAAAAATTTATTTTTTGTCAACATTACCACACAATTCTTTCTTATTTTCAGTAATTATGACGTCCCCTGGGACAACAAATTTTGCCTGGTCCCCCGTCAATGGCTTTTAAACAACCAAACAATTTCTTCAAATAATCACCGCCCTCCTTCACTTTTCTTTAGCGGTGGAAGTGAACCAATCCCTTCTTTAGGGCAACAACAAATTGTCCATCCCTACGCTACATGTTATGAATTTAGCCGAAATGCTTCTATTAAAGTCCCTTCTTCAATGACTATAAGTCATCAAGTAAATTTTATTTTACACCTTAAAATTAGAGAAATTAGTTGATTGAGTAACGGTGAAGTTAGAGGGGATTATTAGAATGAGGAAATTAAAAATTTAAAAATTATGTATTTGGCATAGTGTAGATTACATAAGACAAAAGGGTACACATGACAAAAGGGTTCACAAGCCAAAATAGTTCAAGACAAAACGTTACAAGACAGAATGCCAGAAAATATAAAAATTTATTTTTAGTCAACACTCCCTCCTCCACCACCACCTCCACCTTCATTTCCACCAATACAATCGCAAACACTAAATAGAAGACAATCCTTCATAATACCCCAACAAACATTTATTTCTCCAAATACTTCAACAACCGCTAATTGTTCGTCTTCTTTTGGTAGACATGATGATAGTGGATTAGATTCTGTTTAAAATTGAAGGAAGGAAAAAAAAATATTTTTAGGAACCCAGTGATTTTAATAAATTTTTTTTGTTAAATATTAAATATTTAATTTAAATGATCTCATATCCTAATCTTCTAACAATTATAAAAGTGACATTTTTATGGAGGATTTTGCCTAGGACTTTCCCTTGCGGCTTTTGCCTAGGGGTTTTTTTCGAAAACGACCTTTGCGTAGGGGACAATTGTGTAGGCGACATAAGTGTCCGCGACATTTGCGCAGGCGACATTTGCGAAAGGGACAATTGTGTAAACAACATAAATGTATGCGACAAAAGCTATTTTAATTCAATATCAATCTTTTTAAAATAATTTTTTAATATTATGTGCCTTTGTAAAATAATCATTTTAAATAAATTTTTATTATTTTATTATATTTAAATATTAACTATATTAAATTAATTAATAGATTAAATAAATAAAAAAGAAAACAACACAAAATTTAAGCCCTAATTTTGAACAAAAATTCCTTCTTACAACCCTTTGGAAGGAGAAAAAATTGGAAAAAGAAGGGAAGGCAAAGCAAAATATATTAAAAGAAAAATGAAAAGGAACCCATTAAATTATGCATTGGAGAACCTCCAGAAACTTAGTGGAACAGAGGAAAAAAGAAGGGAGACCCGCAAACGTTTACTAGAAAGTTCTATCTTCCCTTCAATTAGAGATCGAAGTGAGTGGACCATTCGAGAATATTGGCAAAAAAATAAACAAAAAACTTCTCAAAATCAGCTCACTCCGATCTCTAGGAAATTTTTGTCCGCAAATATTTTTGCGGACAACATTTGCGGACAAAAATAATTTTTTTGCGGACAACATTTGCGGACAAAAAATTTTTTGCGGACCAGGGATTATATCTTTGGGGTAATGGAAGTATATTAATTCGGTTCACCATTTTTAGAGACATCTTTTTGTGCTCTTTCATATGAGCTATCGCTTGTCTATATACGATAAGATTTTTGAAAAAATTTTTGTTTTACCCCAATATTTTAATTATAAAAATAATTTATTTAGGGGGTATATTCCAGGGATTATATCTTTGGGGTAATGGAAGTATATTAATTCGGTTCACCATTTTTAGAGACATCTTTTTGTGCTCTTTCATATGAGCTATCGCTTGTCTATATACGATAAGATTTTTGAAAAAATTTTTGTTTTACCCCAATATTTTAATTATAAAAATAATTTATTTAGGGGGTATATTCCAGGGATTATATCTTTGGGGTAATGGAAGTATATTAATTCGGTTCACCATTTTTAGAGACATCTTTTTGTGCTCTTTCATATGAGCTATCGCTTGTCTATATACGATAAGATTTTTGAAAAAATTTTTGTTTTACCCCAATATTTTAATTATAAAAATAATTTATTTAGGGGGTATATTCCAGGGATTATATCTTTGGGGTAATGGAAGTATATTAATTCGGTTCACCATTTTTAGAGACATCTTTTTGTGCTCTTTCATATGAGCTATCGCTTGTCTATATAAGATAAGATTTTTGAAAAAATTTTTGTTTTACCCCAATATTTTAATTATAAAAATAATTTATTTAGGGGGTATATTCCAGGGATTATATCTTTGGGGTAATGGAAGTATATTAATTCGGTTCACCATTTTTAGAGACATCTTTTTGTGCTCTTTCATATGAGCTATCGCTTGTCTATATAAGATAAGATTTTTGAAAAAATTTTTGTTTTATCCAATATTTTAATTATAAAAATAATTTATTTAGGGGGTATATTCCAGGGATTATATCTTTGGGGTAATGGAAGTATATTAATTCGGTTCACCATTTTTAGAGACATCTTTTTGTGCTCTTTCATATGAGCTATCGCTTGTCTATATAAGATAAGATTTTTGAAAAAATTTTTGTTTTACCCCAATATTTTAATTATAAAAATAATTTATTTAGGGGGTATATTCCAGGGATTATATCTTTGGGGTAATGGAAGTATATTAATTCGGTTCACCATTTTTAGAGACATCTTTTTGTGCTCTTTCATATGAGCTATCGCTTGTCTATATAAGATAAGATTTTTGAAAAAATTTTTGTTTTACCCCAATATTTTAATTATAAAAATAATTTATTTAGGGGGTATATTCCAGGGATTATATCTTTGGGGTAATGGAAGTATATTAATTCGGTTCACCATTTTTAGAGACATCTTTTTGTGCTCTTTCATATGAGCTATCGCTTGTCTATATAAGATAAGATTTTTGAAAAAATTTTTGTTTTACCCCAATATTTTAATTATAAAAATAATTTATTTAGGGGGTATATTCCAGGGATTATATCTTTGGGGTAATGGAAGTATATTAATTCGGTTCACCATTTTTAGAGACATCTTTTTGTGCTCTTTCATATGAGCTATCGCTTGTCTATATAAGATAAGATTTTTGAAAAAATTTTTGTTTTATCCAATATTTTAATTATAAAAATAATTTATTTAGGGGGTATATTCCAGGGATTATATCTTTGGGGTAATGGAAGTATATTAATTCGGTTCACCATTTTTAGAGACATCTTTTTGTGCTCTTTCATATGAGCTATCGCTTGTCTATATAAGATAAGATTTTTGAAAAAATTTTTGTTTTACCCCAATATTTTAATTATAAAAATAATTTATTTAGGGGGTATATTCCAGGGATTATATCTTTGGGGTAATGGAAGTATATTAATTCGGTTCACCATTTTTAGAGACATCTTTTTGTGCTCTTTCATATGAGCTATCGCTTGTCTATATACGATAAGATTTTTGAAAAAATTTTTGTTTTACCCCAATATTTTAATTATAAAAATAATTTATTTAGGGGGTATATTCCAGGGATTATATCTTTGGGGTAATGGAAGTATATTAATTCGGTTCACCATTTTTAGAGACATCTTTTTGTGCTCTTTCATATGAGCTATCGCTTGTCTATATACGATAAGATTTTTGAAAAAATTTTTGTTTTATCCAATATTTTAATTATAAAAATAATTTATTTAGGGGGTATATTCCAGGGATTATATCTTTGGGGTAATGGAAGTATATTAATTCGGTTCACCATTTTTAGAGACATCTTTTTGTGCTCTTTCATATGAGCTATCGCTTGTCTATATACGATAAGATTTTTGAAAAAATTTTTGTTTTATCCAATATTTTAATTATAAAAATAATTTATTTAGGGGGTATATTCCAGGGATTATATCTTTGGGGTAATGGAAGTATATTAATTCGGTTCACCATTTTTAGAGACATCTTTTTGTGCTCTTTCATATGAGCTATCGCTTGTCTATATACGATAAGATTTTTGAAAAAATTTTTGTTTTACCCCAATATTTTAATTATAAAAATAATTTATTTAGGGGGTATATTCCAGGGATTATATCTTTGGGGTAATGGAAGTATATTAATTCGGTTCACCATTTTTAGAGACATCTTTTTGTGCTCTTTCATATGAGCTATCGCTTGTCTATATACGATAAGATTTTTGAAAAAATTTTTGTTTTATCCAATATTTTAATTATAAAAATAATTTATTTAGGGGGTATATTCCAGGGATTATATCTTTGGGGTAATGGAAGTATATTAATTCGGTTCACCATTTTTAGAGACATCTTTTTGTGCTCTTTCATATGAGCTATCGCTTGTCTATATACGATAAGATTTTTGAAAAAATTTTTGTTTTACCCCAATATTTTAATTATAAAAATAATTTATTTAGGGGGTATATTCCAGGGATTATATCTTTGGGGTAATGGAAGTATATTAATTCGGTTCACCATTTTTAGAGACATCTTTTTGTGCTCTTTCATATGAGCTATCGCTTGTCTATATACGATAAGATTTTTGAAAAAATTTTTGTTTTATCCAATATTTTAATTATAAAAATAATTTATTTAGGGGGTATATTCCAGGGATTATATCTTTGGGGTAATGGAAGTATATTAATTCGGTTCACCATTTTTAGAGACATCTTTTTGTGCTCTTTCATATGAGCTATCGCTTGTCTATATACGATAAGATTTTTGAAAAAATTTTTGTTTTATCCAATATTTTAATTATAAAAATAATTTATTTAGGGGGTATATTCCAGGGATTATATCTTTGGGGTAATGGAAGTATATTAATTCGGTTCACCATTTTTAGAGACATCTTTTTGTGCTCTTTCATATGAGCTATCGCTTGTCTATATACGATAAGATTTTTGAAAAAATTTTTGTTTTACCCCAATATTTTAATTATAAAAATAATTTATTTAGGGGGTATATTCCAGGGATTATATCTTTGGGGTAATGGAAGTATATTAATTCGGTTCACCATTTTTAGAGACATCTTTTTGTGCTCTTTCATATGAGCTATCGCTTGTCTATATACGATAAGATTTTTGAAAAAATTTTTGTTTTATCCAATATTTTAATTATAAAAATAATTTATTTAGGGGGTATATTCCAGGGATTATATCTTTGGGGTAATGGAAGTATATTAATTCGGTTCACCATTTTTAGAGACATCTTTTTGTGCTCTTTCATATGAGCTATCGCTTGTCTATATAAGATAAGATTTTTGAAAAAATTTTTGTTTTACCCCAATATTTTAATTATAAAAATAATTTATTTAGGGGGTATATTCCAGGGATTATATCTTTGGGGTAATGGAAGTATATTAATTCGGTTCACCATTTTTAGAGACATCTTTTTGTGCTCTTTCATATGAGCTATCGCTTGTCTATATAAGATAAGATTTTTGAAAAAATTTTTGTTTTATCCAATATTTTAATTATAAAAATAATTTATTTAGGGGGTATATTCCAGGGATTATATCTTTGGGGTAATGGAAGTATATTAATTCGGTTCACCATTTTTAGAGACATCTTTTTGTGCTCTTTCATATGAGCTATCGCTTGTCTATATAAGATAAGATTTTTGAAAAAATTTTTGTTTTATCCAATATTTTAATTATAAAAATAATTTATTTAGGGGGTATATTC